GAACTTTCCACATTCTTATGCCGTCCTGTCTGATGATGGCTTTTTTAGATATTCTGATTCTTACCTTTTTTTTCCAACAGGAAAATATTTCAAATTGAGGCCTTACTTTTGTCCTGCCTTCCTTGTGTATTGCTCATGATGTTTATTTGTTTTAAGGATTGTGTACTGTTGTACCAAGGAACTAAAGAACATGAGAGTTTGTATTTTATATATACTGTACATTTTCATCCACTTCAACCAGCACCGAAGTGCTGCCCCCACCTGGGTGACACGCATGTGCCATTCTGCACCAGCAGCCCCAGCTGGGTGACACACTGGGGCCCTTCTGCACCAGCAGATCAGGTGGAGGAGTGAGAAATTGCTTATTCAGTTCAATCAAGGGGGAGATGTAGTGAAGGCAGATTGTTGGAATTTGGACTTTACTCTTAGTAACATTGCCAAGGGATTGTTAGTGATCAAGAAGTGAAGACAGGGGTCCAACATCTCACCCGAAGGAAGGCGTATCCTACAACAGGGAGACTTTTTACACCGGGTCTTTACTTGTTTTTCACTGAAAAAGTTGAAGGTCTTTAGTTTATGAAATGCAGTAATGAAAAGGCAACTGTCAACATGTTTAGGTACATCAGAACATAAATAATTTAATCCATCTAGCTTTTATATGTGTTTTTTCCAGTAGATAATTATTCCAAACCAATCAAAATCCAGAATCTGAAAATGCTTAAATGAATTCAAATGAATCCTGTCATGATGTCAATGAACTGTTCAGTTTTGTGAACTGAGAGCTCAGCCAGAGCGAACCTCTGCAGGTGTGTGGGTCCCCTGCAAGAGAATTGGGAACCCTACTCTACTATGCAGGAAGAGCACAGCTGGCCGTGTAATGCTGAGTGGACAGCAGTAGTCGTGCTTGCCGCACGAGTCAAGTCCCGTTATGAGGAATAAGGGAAAAAAATAATTGCTTCCATAAATCCTTTGGCGTACGTCAGGGCTGGCTCTGTCAGAATTGCCTGTGATTGTTTATATTGCGTGTTCTCAGCTCAATCACTTTTAGTGCAGTGTCTCGGTGATCCCTGCCTCCCAGGTTCATGGGCGTTCTTAGTATTGAAAACAGCAATGGCCTGATCTCTGTTATGTGTCTGGTGTTAGTTTGATTAATTGTCTTGCCCATCAAGCTGAGCGCTGCATAATGCAGAGAGTTCAGGGTGTTCTGTCAACAGTCAGTGTTATTATTTAATGTGAATCCTCCCTGTTCTGCAAAATGTCAGTTTACCTAATTGCCTGTGAAGTTCTGTGGATGTCATTAGAACACACACAGGCATGGAGAGAAGGCTTTGCGTGTAAGGTCTGTGGATCTCCACTGATAGGAAATTCCTTAACCTACGCTGCATCCGTTCCCTATCCCCTAATCCAATTGTAGATTTGATCAGGATCTCTTCATGGATTTTTTCATCTACATGGGCTTTAACTGTGCATTATACACTGACATGTCCCTGTGGAGGTGCCAATTAAATATGAAGATGAAAATGGATTTTTCAGAGCCAAGATGGTTCAGTTAAACGGTGGGCTGCTGTTAGGGCCAAATAACCTGACGGGAAGTGCAGATGATCTTCCTGTGCCAGAGCCCCGGCTTCAGATTTGGCACAAGCCATGGAAATGAGGATGAGTGTGATAGGTGTGCGCGCAAGTCTGATTCTTCCTGGCTTTGTTCCCCTGTGTGTCTGCTGGGGGGCTCGGGGCTGCTGGATAACCTGGCTTGCCTCTGGGAGCAGCTGCGGTCCTGGTTCTGACTGGCCTGTCCCTCCGTGTCCCGCAGGATCGGAGTGCAAGCCGTGCTCTCGGGAATACTCCAGCGTCTCGGGAACAGGATGCGTGTCGCCATCCTCCCTGTCCCCGCCTTCCATCGCGGAGGACGTGTTCTTCAGCAGCACCACTGAGGAGAAGGTACTGCCCCCGAGAAAGCTTTTTTCGGGGTGACTGGTAAACCTAAGGCCTTGTCCTCGCGGGGTTTTGTTAACACGGTTGTGTGTCTCTGGGGTTGTTGCAGGATGACTCCTCCGGCGATACGGATTTTGAGGACCGCGCGCTGGATATCGACGGCAGCATCGAAGACCTTCTCTCCCTAGAGCCCTCCCTCCGCGGGACGGAGTATTTCAGAGACTTGGGGCTGCAGGTCCCTGAAGCGAGCAGCCTGCCGAGGGGTTTACAGTCCTGCCACACCCCAAAGCTCCTGCCCGAGCCCACCAGCAGCTCCTGCCCCGGGTCCCTGTCTCCCGCCGAGCCCGCCGCAGGCATGCAGGAGGGCAAAGCCGTGGACACCCGGGAGTCGGGCGCGGGGGCGCCCCCCGCAGCTGTCTCGGCCACGGCCCAGGGGGATCCGGAGTTCCTCGAGGCCGAGGAGCCGGAGTCGTTCCCCATTTTGGTGAGGTCCATGTCCACTTCGCGAAGACACAGCTGGGAGGTGCCGGTGTCTCCGGTGGACTTGGGCAGAAGGTGAGAGGGGAAGGGGGTGGGGGGGGATGGCGGCTAACCCACTGAGGTCTTACTTCCTACTTCAGTAGGCCAGTGTGAATGTGTAGGCAGCAGTCAAGTCATCAAGATCCTTTAATAGGCCAGTGCCGGGTCTTCCAATCCACTCCATAGGCTCAGACAACACCAGAAGCTTAAGGAGGTGTCTGGATTGAAACTACTGCACTGGAGTGAATTGAAAGAGCTGCAGGCTCTTTGAATGTTGTTTTTAATATCATTGGCTGCTTCATAGGTTACCCGTTCGCTCTCAGATCCTGTGTCCTGCCTTCCTAGACTATACCCTGGAGCTTCGGTCTTGAGCACCCAGCACTTGAGCGCGTCCAAAAATCCACCTTAATGGCCATGTGCTCAATTGCACCTGCCCTCTCTGCCCCATGCATTCATGCAAGGGCAGAAGTTCACCCTTCTCCAAGGCATTTTCTCAAGGCCACTGTTCAGACTCCAGCATTGTAGAAAAGGAAACGGGAGAAGCATGATTTGAGGAAAAAAAAACAAGGAATCTTTCTTGTAAGTTGTGATTTTGAGGTAGTTGTATTTATGAGGGGATGGAGTGCTTTTCATTCCCATTCTCAGATTTGAAACTCTGCTGTGGTTCTTTCAGCACAGCAGCGTCCTCACTGTCCAGCAGGCAGGATATGGGCTGGACTAGCAGTCTTTCTGCCTGAGCTAGAAACTGGAATTTAGTAGATCAGTTTGTTAGCTGAGTATACCACTATTTCATAGAATTTCAGCTGTGGTCTTAGGAGTCAGTACCTTTAGCAGTACCTTATTCTCCTAAAAAATGGCAGCAGATCCGAAGAACACAAAAAAATCCAATTGACCTCTTCATTCTATTTTATTTAAAGCGAGCATGTCGTAGGGTGTGAAGCCTATTTTAACAAAAAGGCAAAACCCTTCAAAACCACATTGCTAATTTTAGACTTTTTGGATGAGGCCTGTTTTGGTTAAGATAACTGACTTCCTCATTCAGGCGGAAAAGAGAAATGGCCGCCCGCCCACACTGCCACCTGGCAGGTGATGCCTCTCTCTTGCAGAGGCACTGGGGAGCCATTGTATTCTCACAGCTGGAAAAGTACTGTGCTGCGCTTAGACGTGTTTCCTGTTAACCTGTGAATCTGTCACTTGTATATGGTGCTGCGGTTACCCTGTATGACGCGCTATAAATAGAGCGGAGAGAGAGATCAGTGAAAGTGGAGGACCCCGAAGGCAATCTCTGGGACGCCCGTGGAAGTTCGGTGATGTGACTGGCAGCTCGGTGCTTCTGCACTGCAGGAAGTGGTCTGTTTTTATGTATTCTAACCAGTGGTTAGTTTCTGCTGGATAGCACTACGGCTTGTTTTATTTAACTGGGCAAACTACTCTTAGGTTTTGTATGTAAAATAAACGTATTACTACTTAGCTTGTGCAGTTCACAGACCAGTTATTGCATTAAAACAGCTGTGGAAGTATCTGGTACAAGTTATTTTTAGGCATCTATGGCTATAGTATATCATACATCACCAACCTCCCATAACCCCCCCCCAAAAAAATAAAATAAACGTGCAGCGTTGATGAACGTGGGGCAGGGGAACTGCCTGCAGCTTTCAGGTTGCTGGAGCAGAATCGCAGGACCCACAATGAACTCTCGCATGGTCATCTTTGATCTCCCCAAGGTTTAGTCTGGACACAACAGCCATGGACAGCGATGGAGACAGAGAAGAAGACGGTTCGCCTGAGACATCCCAGGACCAGCGGAAACTGTCCTTCGTTTATCCTGATTGCCCCACTGGGGAGGTCAGTGCCTGTGTGGAAGACAGGAATGAATGACAATGGGGAAATAACGGGATCCCAAGCTGAAGGATAACATTTCAGTAAAACTGGCTTATGTGATAGGCAGGCCTCTTGTGTAGTGGCTCCATTGTGTCCTATGTCAGTACAGATTCTGGTGTGCAGATGTTTATTGGATCTACTGTAAAGCACAACCAAGAGCACAGGATGATAGTAAAATACATCTTGGTGCATTAACGAGTATACACCCGGGAGTTGTGCATGCTGACCCCCAGCTCAGTAGTGTTTGCAGGTACTGTCTTCCTAAAAAATTTCCATAAAAACGATGACTAGTTCCTGCACAAAGATCCTGGTTATTGAGAATCTCGTTGTAAAGGTGCCCACCACCCCCCAGCACTGGCTATAATCTGTTCTTGCAGAAGTGTAGCTTCCATTAACGAGCACCATTGGTTTGAGTCCCAGCTTGGGATTCTGAATGAAAAACTGCAGTAGATTGATTTCTTGGACTGAGGTTCATGGATATAATTAATAGGGAGACGTACTGTTGGCAGATGGCTGTGCCCGAGCTCCTCTCTGCTTTTGTTCCAGCCTGGCTCCTTTGATTAACCAGTGCTGGTTCTCTGGCAGAATTCCAGTGTCTGTCTGGTCGCCAGCTTAGGCGCTCCGAGGTCGGAATGAGGGATGGGGTTCTCCTCTGCAAAGCCCGCAGCCCTGCGCGCGGAAGACTGGGGCAGATAGCGCGCTCCTGTCGGGGGCGGGAATCTGCCCCCCCGTCCAGTCGCTCAGAGTTCGTTTCCCCCTCTCTCTCGCTGCAGGACGAGGACGAGGCCGGGAAGCGCTCGCGGTCGAAGTCCGTGGTTCTGATCGCGGAGAAGGTCAGCACGGCTCGGATGTCGCGCAGCTGGGAGGTCTCGCTGCAAGGCCCCAGAGGTCAGTGTGTGCAGACGCCTCCACCTTGGGGACTGTAGAACCACTGGGCATTGAGCGGATCGGGACCAAACAGGGCTGTTTCTGAAGAAAACGTCAAAACGTTTCTTTCCATGCATTGCTGTCCTAGGGTGTCTGACTTTTTCCGACAAAGCTGACAGCTCTCCGGGAGGGAGCTTTCCCACTGGAAAGTGGTTTAAGCCCAGAGCATTCTGTGATGTTTTCATCATTGGCATAAATCCTTGACATTAATTTCAGCAGTGGTTGTGCTTGATTTGCTCGATTTTCGAAATTATGCCAGCTGTTCAATGACCACATTGAAATTTGCTCAGCTGTTCTTTTCCAAACCTTTTTATGGGGGTGTATTGGCCAGACCTGGGTATCTAGGGGATAAAACCACAGAATTTCAGTCAGCGCCAGGTAAAATCACTGACCTGTTACAGTAATCAGGTGCGCTATAGACAGTGGATGCCTACTGATCTTCAGCCCTACTTCCTCAAGGGTTTTGTAGCAATGATGGGCTGAGTAATGAACCGAAGCCAAGAGAGAAAAAGAAACGCACTCAATTAGAATATAATTAAATAGAATATTGAAAATGTATTCCCATCCTCATCCCCATCGCTCGATTGTGTTCACACAGCTGAGGAACGGAGCACAGAAGAGAACGAGCCAAGCCACGAGGAGCAAAGTCGAATGTACGTACTGCACATGGATGGCGAAACGCACTCAGGGTTTCGAGAAGATGGCAGTAAACTGTGGCTTTCTTCTTCTCCGGGAGTGAAGGGTTTCCCATAACAAGAGGCCCTGACGGGTACCTTCGCCCACGTTTTCTTGAGGTTACAAAACCACAAATTCATTAGGTCTTGCTAGGAAAGTCCTCATCTCCAACAGCACTGAGCCTTCGAAGTCACTTTAAGAGTGCTGTTTCTTATTTACCTTTACGTAGTCTACATATTATGGTTTACCAACATTAACCTTTTACAGCTATTGCTCCAGCAGACTCGACAGAGGTCTACTATTACTACGTGTGTGAAATGTTGGCTGTGTTATGTTTAAGGGCTTGCGCTGTTGTTTAGGTTGAGGGTAGGGTTAGGGTTAGGCTTAGGCTTAAGATTTAGTTTATGAAAGCTCATGTGCCTTTCATGTCTTTTGGAGAGTCATAAAAGGATAGAAATCCTTCATATATTATGTAGCCTTTAAGAAGGTGGAATTCCAATGTCCTTCTCATTGACCAAGGTCATATCCTTGCTTTCCATCTTCATCTTGCTTCTTCCTTGGTGTAGACAGCAATTCCCCTCCGTTTTAACAGTGGTTAAGCTAGTAGCTGGAGGCACACTGTCCTCAGACTCCACCAGCAGTGATGTACAGGCCTCCCCCTTGTGGCGAGACTGCTGAGCTGAGCACACCGTCTCAGTGTGTTATTTGTTGTAGGCTGATGGTACAGCAGGTCCTGCAGGAGTTAAAGCAGTACCACGGGTAAGTAAGAGGAGGCTAAGGACTCCCAGTTTTGGGATTTGTATTTCTGGCTTGTCTGCCCGCCTTTTGAACAAATCTGCACCAATATGGCTTCATACGTATTGACTCACTTCCTGCAGCTTGAACGAAGCTTCTCAAGGATGATACAGAGGAATAAACCCCAATCAGTCCAACGGCCTGACAAAATGAAATTCTTCAGTTTCTTCAATTGAGCTCAATTCTGGTTTTAACGCCTAGCAATCTTTGCCAAGTTTTCCTCTGGGAGGCCGTCATGACTAGGTGTTACACAATGAGAAGCGCCTGTTGGTTGACATCCCTGTCTTTAAAGCCACATGAGAGGCGTTGAGTGCTTCACTGGCTGTTGGCTGGAGTTTTAAAGGCTGGCAGACAAGCAAGAAACAAACTCCCAAAAGCAGGGGTTCAGACCATGGCCAGTTGATGCCTGCTTGCCGTGCAGACTGACCAGGGACAGAAGTTGTCTGCTGCCCTGAATAACACACTTACCCCTTTCTGAGAGCGTCCTGCAGCAAAGCAAGCTCATCGAAAGGACACCCTAGAACGCTTGGCTGGGTTTGCCATCATAACACAAGGTTTGTGGTCCAGGAGTGTTTGCTCGCTGCATGTGCAGAGTCCCGGGCACGTTGAAATGAGCAGCCCCTTTGCCATCAGGCGGAGTAGTGGTGAATAAAAGCATGCTTTCAAGAAGCGGAGAAAATGTCAAATACAGCCGTGCCCAGGAGCAGGGCCTGATGCAGATGATTGTGTTGAGGAAACACCAGTGTCGTTTTTTTTTTTGGAGGATGGGGTGCTCATTTTAATATGGTAGGTCTCTGTATACGTTTGTACGCTTGCGTCCCTGAAAGCAAACAACCCAGTCTTTTTTTTTTTGTCTTCGTGCGTTCTGCTCCTCCTTTGGTTTTGACCTCAATCAGAGACGAGCCGCGCCATCTTCTCCACCTTATTCCCGCTTGGGTGACAGGGTGGGAGACTGAGGGTGGCATGGGGGCACGATGCCCGAGTCTCGTCTGCCTGGCATGACGCAACGCCCATGTCCTCGCCCCTGTCCGGGGAAAAAAACACAACTGTATCCCTGGGTCCTTCGCTGGCATCGACCAGCTCACTGTTGCCAGAGCTGGAATGGCAGATGCTGCAGTGACGTTGCCTAAAAAATGCTTTTTAAGGCTGAATCACAATTTCACCCGTCCCTGGTGAAGGGTGTCATTCTTTTTACTTTTTACACCGTATATGAAGCAGTTTGCATGCACACCGGGGCTGATCCCCACTGCGTAGTCCGTGCACTGAGAAAAAAAGGAGGTGGATCTGGTGAGCAGTCTCTGTCTTCTGCAGAGCCAAGCAGAGGCCCGGCCGTGGAGAGGGCAAGGAGGCCTCGGAGAGCGTGACCTGGTACGAGTTTCTCTCCAACGAGTGAGTCGGGGGCTTTTTTTCTCTCTTTCTTTTGCTTTTTGTTTCCAGAAAGGCCGACGCAAAACTTTAGCCAGGTGAGAAACGGATTGTAGGTCCTGCGATGAAATCTAAGCGTTAAATTGTGGCAGTGGTCTATTGTGGGCCTAGGATCCCCATGACGTTTTCACCCTATGTAATATTCTGAGCTGGAGTTGCATTTTTCCTCCCATCTCGTGGCTGTTAATTGAAGTTAATTGAGGCTGAGCCCTGGATGAATTGAATCCAGGCGTGGCTTGCTGATTGATTAAGGTTAATTCAGCCTCAACCTCAAGCATAAAAGACAGGGATTGGGAAGGTTCGGTTTCTTTCATTGATTTCATTTCTGATTCTAATGCGCAGAAGTCTTCACGCAGAGGTTTTCTTTTGTCTGGAAACCAATGAGTTTACAACAGGGTTTTCTTTTGATTTAATACTTGCTGTTTAATGGATAGCCAACCCATGGTAATCAGAGGTCTTAAGACCTCAGGTTTTGGTCCAATATTCACCTTTGCTTAAAGGGACATTGTTATAAGAACAAGAGGGATCTTGTTTCCCTTTTTCCTGACCTATAACCCTGCCGTCACTAGAGGACAAGTCTGAGAAGCTCGGCTGTGGAGACTAGCCCACCTGAGGAGCCACAGTCCTGCAGTGGCCAATTTTGGGCAGAGCGGTGGCTCTGTGGTTAAGGATCTGCACCTGTGACTGGAAGGTTGCCGGTTCAAATCCCGCGGCCGGCAGAGGAATCATACTCCGTTGGGCCCCTGAGCAAGGCCCTTAACCTAACTGCTCCAGGGGTGCCGTACAATGGCTGACCCTGCACTCTGACCCCAGGCTATCTCCCTGTCTGTGTGTCTGAGTGACTCATGGAGAGCAAGCTGGGGTATGCGAAAAGATAATTCCTAATGCAAGAAATTGTATAGGGCTAATAAAGAAACATTATATTATATTATATAATATTTATTTCCCTGCCTCTTCTTTTAATGGTTGTGTTTTTGCGTGTCCAGGGGGTGTGAAGTGTCGTGCGAGTGCCTGTCGTTGCCAGAGACAGACACGCCTTCGCTTGTACGTTTGGCCTGAACCTTCCTCTTTCCGGTGCTCTTTCTCGCAGAAACGAGGATGAGGAGGAGCGGACAGAGAAAGTGCGGGGCGCGACAGTGAAACGAAGACTGAGCTCCCTGAAGAACCGGGTCACCGGATCCTTCCAGAAGGACAAGGTGAATGAGAGTCTGAAGCAGCCTTGTGTATTCCAGTTTAAAAGCAGCCTGCCAGCAAAGACTGGCCTCTGCGTTTCCTTTTTTTAACTTGCCAGTTATCACAAAACATCAGGTTGTTATAAATATGGATGAGTATAAAGTCTGCTAATTAACATTCTTTTCCAGTAGGACAAGGAAGTATAGTGCTAGGGAAGGAGGAGGGAAGAGGGAAAAAATGGTGAAATTCACAAATATACAGTAAATTCAGCAGTAAAAATAATCCACCTCTCCCAATTTCTCTCAAAGATCTCATTCTGGAGTCTAAGCTGATAAGTTAGTTTTTCCATCTCATAAATCTCTGAATTCTCTTATTAAAATGACCACCACCATACATTTTAAGCGAAACAGTGGCCCTGAAAACACACACCCACTTTTGCCTAGAATTTGAGCTCCCCGGGTGTTGCTGACAGAGGCTTCAGCTCTTTCTGAAGAGCCCCCTTCTCCACTCCTTGCCTTTCAAGGATGTTCGGATATGTCACGAAGTACAGCTCTGTACTTTTCCGGTTTGGGAGCTAAGCGCCGCCTGACTGAGCTCTCTTGCCTCATCTTCCTGTCTGAGGTGAACAGTCACACCCCCCCCCCACACACACACACACACACCACATCATCTCCCATCAAGCCCAGTCAGCCTGTCTCGTGTTTTCAGTGCTCGGGAGCCCTGCCTGGTACTTCTGCTGTTCTCCCCTCCTGACTTCAGAAGCCCAGCAGCGAGGGGTCTGTTTATGCCAGAGACTTTGCCAAGAGTTTTGCTTTGCGTGCATCGAGTTCAATCAGTGTGTCTGTGTGGGATTTGGACTCAATTTAGTTCGTGTTCTTCGTGTTGTTTGACTGACTAGGAGAGTGTGTGACATTCTCAAACAGCAGGATCAGAATTTAGATTCAGTGGTGGTGTTTAAAATATTCTGATACCACGTCTGCCCTTTTACAATCTGTTTAAATGTGTGTTGTGTCCTTACTCTAAATGCTACATTTATAGCAGCACAAGAGGTGGCACGAGGCTGCGTCTAATGTTTAACAATGGCTTAAAATACCCAGCTGTATAAATGGGCACTTTGGATTGAACCAAATACATTTCTGATCATGTTTTGACTGCCTCGTCATCTGTGAGGCTACTGAAGACGTCTGTGAAATCGCCTCTGTGGTTTAAATTCCGTTTAAAAATGACTCAAAGAATTCAATTTTAACACTCATCCTACAAACGACACCTGCCCCGATACGAGACTAATACTGAAGGGCGTATTCACAGTACAGATGTCGTTTATTTTGTTTTCATTACAATGTTAAGACTAATCTAGTAAACCTTTTTAGACGTTGTTTATACCATGCAGCTGGACCCAGAATAAATAAAATAAAAATGCTACTGAATTTTCCAGTACAACCCAACATTCCTATGTGTAATGGGCCGGGAAGGTTAATTAGCTTTAACATCTGGTTACTTGTAATACCTGTCTTTGTATAAAATAAAACAAAAATGGCATTTTGAGCCAGTATTGCGTATATTTCTAATTCTCCACTTTCTTAGTGGCTGGAAATATTTTGAGCTTCCTTCCGTTGATGTAAACCAAAATAGAATCGTACACAAAGAGTTCTCCTCTCTGACTAAAGAAATAAAAAAGTGCTCATCGTTTATTACAGTTAGTATAGCTGGAGAGTCCAGAAAGACATCTCGTCAGCCTGAGGGTCTATATTTCTTCATAGATTAGAAACTTTTCTGTATGTTACACATGTTCATCTTGGTAATATATTTACACTGATACACAGATCTTCTGTTCACAGTGTCTAATACTTTTATGAATTATGAATTGAGCTTTATTGCCCCTAGGGGAATTTGTCTGGGTTTGTGTCCACCAAGATCTTTCCCATTGGCAGGGAAGTCAGATATACACAGCATCACGAGGTGACACTTTTTAAAAGTGTAAAAGGACATCTCTTTCCTTCCATTTTTCACAAAACCACCACCGACTAGCATTGACGCAGAAGAAGAAGACTTTCAGAGTGTGCCCTGCTATAACTGTTTTTTCCCCCCCCCCATTTTTCTCCTCTCCAGGGTAAGAATCGAGAGAAAGAGCAGCAGAAAGAGAGGGAGAAGGAGAGAGAGAAGGAGAAGGAGCCAAAAGAGAAGAGACGTGCGAGCAGTGGGCACCAGTTCGTGCCTGGCACCTTCTCCAGCTGTGCCACTTGCACACTGTGCAGCAAAACTCTGGTGAGAAAGAATGGCCTGCAGTGTCTCAGTGAGTATCACCATCGCAGAGCTTGCACACAGCTCAAGGCACCACCTGCACTCTCTGGGGAAACCCTTCGCTTGGTGTTGTAACGGCAAACGCAGTTCCACCTCGACCCACCTGAAACGCCCAGCTTAAGGACCAGGTTACTCTTGCATGGCACAAGCGACCTGTGTTTCAACGTGCAGTTTTCACCGTCGGTTGCTCTGCAAAATGGCAGAAGGCTCAGAAGCGTTTTTTTTTCTTCTTTCTTGCACGCCTCCGCCGTGCCTCCTTCCCGTCAATTGCAGCTGACGATTTGGCAGTTTCGGTTTTGAAACCGAGACTTTCAGTCTTCATGAGCACCACGTTCTGGTATTTCACCAATAGGAAAGGGAGATTATGTGAGCTGATCGGGGTAAAATAGTACAACGAGTGCGTTGCTGAGATAGGGCTTGAACTAGGCATCTCCTCGTGATAGGGACAATCGCAAGATGCCCCAGATTATTGTATCCAATAATGCTTCCTCACAGTACTGCATAGAATCCTTTTCTGTGCCCTGTTCTACTTGAACATCATAACTCTCTCACTGTGTGCACTGTTGAGTGAAGTATAGTTTTGAAGTGCAGAAAATGAAAGCTTATGTGCTTTGAAGGATATGATCACTTGAGGCTGATCGCTTTAAAGTCACCCTGCAACACTTTTGCACGTTAAGCTTACTTGCTGGAATGTCTGTGCATGGTAATATCTAGGATTTTAAATCCAATTTATTCAGCATCTTGTATTTTTTAAGCTTGGGGATGAGAAGCAGTGGAACATCATATTTGGTCAGATAGGAGGTTAGCCTTTTGTGAGAAAAAAGTGAAGATCCACAGTTTAGAATGACACGTTCATTGAACTTAACACGATGTGTTCACCATTTTGAATCCTCTGCACTCGGCATGGCTGGGCCTGGTCACAGATTCTCTGCCTGTCCCATCAGTTTAACAGCATGCACAGAGACTCGAAGGCCATTTCAAAGCTGTACTGTTTGATTCTCATTGGGAAAAAAAGAAATACCCCTTTCACCTAATGTGCTCAAAGCAAGGGGTCTCAGTCTTTCTCCTTCTTCTCAAGAATACACAACAAATGAATTAACTGTAAATCATGCAGATGTTTGTCATGAAGCATTAACTACATTCCAGGTCCAAAGGTACCTCTCTGTTGAAGCAGAATTGCCATTTGAGTGATGGTGAGGACTCTCAGGGGACCCTGGATTTCTCTGGCTAACTCGAAATGTTTGCTATTTTGGTTCAGTGTTTTTACTTTTCCTTGGGGGGGTGGGGGTGTCAGAAAGGAATTCAAACTTTGAATTGATACAAAAGATTGTTAGAAACAAAAGCATACTGCTGTCAAGGACATTGTATTTTTCTGCTTTTATTTTTACTCTTAAGGATTTCTTTCTTCTTGCTGGAACACAAGCCTTGACTACCTTCTCCTGAAATTAGCCATTTTGTTTTAAGCTCACAAGAAAGCCTGCTAGATCCGTACAGAAATAATCCTATCTAGAGAGAAACAAATGCTGTTAAAGAGGAGCAGAGCATAACCTGAGTTACAACAATTAATATTGGCTGCTGATATTTACTCAGAGTTCCTATGATCAGTTATGGTATCATTTTGGGTCTTCTGTTCTGTTGGCAGCTTTCAGTTTTTGCACTGATTAATTATAATAGTTTATTCCCTTTCTCAAATGTGCAAATATTAGGACCCGCAAATCACTCATCTTTATTACTGTTGTTTTTACGTTTGAAGCTTTTATTCATTGAAGGCTATCACGTTCCCCATTTTAGGCTTGAATAGTTTGGTAAGGACTTATGCATGTGGGTTTGCTGGAGCATGTGGGAGTTAAATAAAGGCTGTTTAGTAGTATCTCTACCTGGGGTTTGAGCTTCAGTCCTGATTACAGGATGTCATGTTTCAGCCCAACCTGTAAAATAAAATACTACACACAGTAAGCGTTCAGATCTACTGTACGGTCGGATGAGGAGTGAGCATTTGTATGGTTCCTAATGCAACAGAAAATTGGATTTTCAGTATGAATTTTAGTGGAGAGAAGGACAGTTTTTTTTTTACAGTAATCAGGATGAAATTTCGTAGTGGAGATCCTCATGGTTCTCTTAATGTGAAACGACAGCAGAAATGTTTTATTCTCTGCGAGAACCCTTTGTAATCATCGTCATTAAATCGGTTCGCTTCTCTTTTTAACAAGCAACGGTCAGCTGTCCGTTCGTAGACACCTCGGCATCCTGCAGCATGGTGTTCTGTGTTGTGGAAACTGTTCTGTGTCTTGCACAAATATTTTGTAAGCTTGCTTGGTAAGAGAGCTAGTTGCGCCTGTAGTGGCCCAGAACAATCCTCAAGGACGTCTGTGCTTCTAAATGCAGTACGGGTCCTATTTTGACAATTGTAGCCAATAAAATGAATCGAATCAGGTTTACCTTTGATATTTTGGGCTTGAATCAGGATTTTCTGATTTTTTTTGTACTTTATACTTAACGTTTATTTTTTTTATTTAATCTGAATATTACACACCTCGAGTACAAGTGTATTTGATCCACTTTGGATTGCAGTATGTTATGGCCCATGCTCCAGAGCTTAGTTTTGCCAAGCAGGTGAGAAATACTGTAATAGCTGTAGAAGGGACTTTTAATTTGTTGGTCCTTTACTTCTTGAAGGAAAGGCCCTCTTCAAATCCCACTTCCTCAAGTGCCTTGCTTCTTGTAATTCAGAAAACTTTCTTCCAAGTCATGTGATACAGTCATGAGGAAGACTGCAAGAGCTGAACTTCCATTGGCTGTAAACAGTCAAACAGAAACTCTTTTCATTCCTTTTTTTTTACACTGGCAGTGAAAATGTTGCAAATATAAATGTTATGCACTGGTGCCTATTTCATGTTCTGTTCCATTCTTCTGAGAAAAAGGAAATTGGATTATTTTCTGGGGTTCACTGACTAAGCAAAGCAATTTCTTCCGGTGGTGTACGTCCCTAACATTCCTCTCGCTAGAGTGAAATTGGTTAAAAGTCACCCGCTGCCTTTTCCATTCTGCAGTTTCTGAAAAGACTGGGATCTCATTCCTGGATCTGCTCCTAGATGCTTTCTTATTTTGAAGTTTTTAAGCAACAGACTGACAATTATGAAGCCAAAAATGCAGCACTAATTACTGCTTCTTTGTGGTACAGAGCTGTTGGAGGCTCTGAGGAAATGCCAGGACTCATTAATCTCAGGCTGTTTCCTCTGCTGTTATAAGGAGTTATCATGATTTGCTACCTAGCACAGTCCAGATATGCCAGTGTTCCTTTGAGCGGTGTGAATGAAGCATTCCTGTTTAATACGAGCACACAAATCATGTGCTGTAGAACAGTAAGACTTCTGCGACTCATTCCCCTTTCTGCAGTTGTTTTTCAACTCATTGATCATTGATTAGCTTTTTAAATCCTCTTCCTTGCAGTGAAGTAAATGGATTAATAAAAACACATTAACTGAGCATCAAAAGAAATGTAGTTCTTGGAAGAGCAACAGAATGAAGTTATTAAGATCAGACCACTTTGTTGGCCATATACAATTTCTTGCATTAGGAATTTGTCTTTTCGCATACCCCAACTTGCTCTCCATCAGACACACAGACAGGGAGAGAAGCTGGGGGTCAGAGCGCAGGGTCAGCCATTTATACGGCGCCCCTGGAGCAGCTGGGGTTAAGGGCCTTGCTCAGGGGCCCAACAGAGTAGGATTCCTCTGCCGGCCGCGGGATACAAACTGGCAGCCTTCCAGATCCTGAGCCACAGAGCAACCACTCCGCCCTTTATTTTTCTCCCATTATTAGGAGAATTAAAATCCTTTTTGTTGCAGGTGTTGTGACATTTCATTTCAGTGATATGCCAAAGGCAGAGTCATTATGTGGAGTAACATTTGTCACCAGCATGCAGTCGACTGCCAAAGTCACAAGGTAGTAGTGTGAATGCCCACAGCTGGAGGCAACACAGTACCACTGTAGCACATTGCTTTGCACAGGTTGTAGATTCCGTTGAATGGGATTCTGGCCCTTTCTTCTCATAACTCGTTGGCAAACATGATTTTTTATGTTGGTCTCTGAACCCTTGGTGCCACAGGCCAACCCATGTTTCTTGCCAGTTCTAACTGGGGCTCAAGTCTGGTGAGCAGGACATCCTTGGCTTCATTGTTTCATTCTCATCTTGCATGAAAGCTGCTGTTACACGAGCAGTAGGACGTCTTCCATCGCCCTGCGGGAATGTTGTCACATCAGAATGAGCCCACAGGAAGGGCAACCACTGAGGTCCCAGGAGGACTCAGTTGGCGAGACCAGGGGTTTGCGAACTCATGGTGACTTACAGAACGTTCACGATTTTGTGCTTCATTTTGGAATTGGTCAAATTTTTCTAGACCGTCGATGAATTTATTTTGTACCCAACATTTAATAAGCGGTCTGAGAAATTTGGGACTGCAGCTCCTCTTTAAACACATCTCCGTGGAGCTCCCGACTGAATTTGAATAGAAACTAAATTAAGCCCTGTCCATACATGGGTCCCTGTGTTTATAGAAGGCTCGGAAAGACAAAACGCAGGATCACCCAGGAGCAGACATAAATCTGCAAATCAGACAACAGTTTGGGAAAGATTATATATGGCTATTTGGATTCGTTTGCTTATTAAACAAGTCTAGCTGATGTATTCATTGCACGGTGCGCACAACAGCACTGCTGGGCTTGGATATAGTTTAACATTAAACAGCCTGGGAGGGCGTCTGGTTGCCAAGATGGCAACAAGGAACATCAGGCTCCTTGACATGAGTGCTTAACGCTACTGGATGTCCTCACCAAGCAGAGTCCCTGCGCCGTTTTCACAGGTTGCTAGTTCTTCCTTGGATGACGGGGCTTTGGAGCATATCAGCATGGGGCACATCTGTGCTTTAGCAGGATTTGGGCTGAAAGTCCATTTTTAATTGGCAGTAAAAACAGATGTTTTTACTTAATTGC